GAAGCCTCTGAGTGTGGTGATATGAAAGTGTGTTGACCAGCGGTGAGAGGAAGAGTGGCTAAAGCCGCAGATGGTGTGACAGCTGCATGATTTACTGTGGACGAGAATTGCCAAGAAAGCCGCAGCAGAAGCTTGAAGGAAACAATCGGGAGAAAGCGTCAAGCTATTACTCAATCCCTTATAGAAGCACTTGAAAGGGATTGAGTCCTTCCCTTGAAAGGGAAGGGGTTCTTAATCTGTTAAATTAAGGACCTGCCAGAAACGCTACGCATGCTAGTGGCTTTACTAGAATGTAAAAACCAATGCTATGTACTCTCATAAACCCAATGCCTTCCTTTCTCGTATATAAATAAATTAATGAGATAAGGGTTTGGGATGGGACTGGGGGGGGGGGAAAGGAATGGTGCCCAACCACTTGATGATCAGGGATTGAACGTCGACCTACATGAAGTGAGACCGTCGCTCTACTTTCCACCCCAAGTAACAACTTGGGGTGGCAGAAGCTTGAGAGGAGCCCCGACAATCGTCACTAAATATAAATACTAATAGAAGTTGCCTATTTAAATTGAAACACAGTATTACAGTAACCAAACAAGCGCGAGGAAGGCAACAGAGTGAATACTATGACTATCCGCAGGTTGAGTATACAACAAAAATCGTGGAACAATAAAAGTGGAATTCATGAAACGTGGCAATGCAGTCCGTCCTCATAAACAAAGGCTCAAGTCCATTCCATGCACCCGCCAAACCCGTTGTTTATGAATGATAACGGGTTACACACGACTCGACTGATGACGTCCGATCACTTCCACAACAAGCGCTTCGCTGACGACTTTTATTCGAACCACAACACTGTAAATGCTTCACCCGCGTGCTACAAAAAAAAAAAAAAATCGCCAACAGAACCTAAACACCTAACCTAACCCACTGCCTAAATATGCACAATATGCTAATATATAATAATATTAATTTATATTCGATAAAATTCCTATTTTGAATGAACAGCATGTACAAATTGATGAATGCGTCTTTGGGGTCGACCGCTGGATGGAATGGACTTTATTTGAGGACGGATTGCAATAACAAGCTATACGAATCAGTGGGTGACAGGTGCAGGACTTAAATAAGACAATTCGCCTATACTGTATTTTGTGTTTATATTAAAATATCATTAACCCACAGGTCATATCAATATATTTTATTTGCATGATATCATTACCTGTGTAAATCGAAATAAATAAGATAGAATGGATAGTGTACGATTAAGCGAAGTGAATACTCTGCTACGATAAGCAGATTATTCACTGTAGATAAGACATTTACCTGTTCTGTAGTACAATAGTAATGCGCTGGTGCGAAACTGCGCGCTAAATATTCTCAAATGTCTTATACTGTAAGTTCCTCATTATTGCTTACTGACAGAGGTGCCCGGCGTAGCCTGAATAAAGTCCAGGAGCCAGCCACCAGGGCTCTAGGCCTCTCCCAGAAATTCAATTTAAATGGTTTAGTCTTGACACACACGATCCTCAACATTATAAATTGTCGCTACTAATGTCTTCTCTGTATATGTTCTCCTCACTATACACGATTGCCAACACTACCGTCTTCGCCCCGGGTGAAGATCTTAGCAATATATGATCTTCATCAGTCTAACCCCGGTTGAAAAACACGAAATTTAGTCCAACCAGAACGATAAATTACTTGAGCATTCAGACCTTTTCCCTCTTGAGGATCGTAAGTTTTCATATTTCCCGTTATCCCAACCCCAAGAGTAGAGAGTTTAAAATCACCTCTCTCCTTGCCCAAGATTCGCAAGCTTTCAGGCATACTCCCTGCACAAGGGTCGCGAGTTCTCAGGCCTCTAACAGGGAACACACGCACCGAGGAAGATTGCCAAGTCGCACCAGTTTGGGCTGCTCCTCCATCAGGTGTTGGGGACTATTTGCCTGGTCACACCTGCTCGGACTACTCACCAGGCCACACCTGCTCGGACTACTCACCAGGTCACACCTGCTCGGACTACTCACCAGGTCACACCTGCTCGGACTACTCACCAGGCCACACCTGCTCGGACTACTCACCAGGTCACACCTGCTCGGACTACTCACCAGGTCACATCTGCTCGGACTACTCACCAGGTCACATCCGCTCGGACTACTCACCAGGTCACATCCGCTCGGACTACTCACCAGGTCACACCTGCTCGGACTACTCACCATGCAGTGTTGAGAGGAAGTAACACAGCAACACCCCGTTCATCAGTCTTAAAGTGTTGAACATCTCTGGCGCCTCTCCTTGGTGCACGCAAGCTCTCCAAGATGACAAATGCTTTACCCTTTATGGGTTTCTATGCCACAGTCTCGACTTATTTTATATAAATTGTTCACTAAAAGATGATCTGTTTTCATTTAATGTCTAGCAACAAGACGTAAATTACAGTTACTGTAGTATGTATACAGTTTATGTACGGACTGTATAAAACTAACTGGGCCGTGTAAGTGTATACAGTTGAAGGGAGCAAGACTGGCCCAACGCAGCGTGTACCACCAAACTTCTGGAGACGAACTAACGAGACCAGCTGAGCCGCTGAGGAAAACAACAAACACCTCAGCTTTCTCCCTGCAATTACTGCACGCACCCGAGGAGACGGCTTCCAACGGAAGAAGGCCGTATGTACAGTGTTTAGATCACCCTGATATTTCGCACTACTGTGCATATAGTCCAGGGATGACTTAGAGAAAAGTGTGTGATGTTCACCCATATATCGCTGAATCCTGCTAATCACGTGAAATTTAGTCAGGTGTCTGAAATACATTTACTACCTTTAACAGAGCTGAAACGCTGTTCAACATTAATCAAATATTAAAGTTCGACAATGTTTTCCCCAAGGATGACATACAATTAAAATAAAAGTATCTACACAAACTACTAGTTCGTAAAGCAGGCTGGCACATGTGACCATGCTGCTTGCTCCTCCACGAGCACCATATGCCGGTGCAGGAAAGAAAGTCGCAACAATTAACATATTTTAACTTTAAGAGAGAATGTCTGTTCAAAGTTGCAGGCTAGAGGCTTGGGGCTAGCCTCACTCAAATTGGCAGAGGGAATGGTCTGCGGTACGGAATAGACATAGGAGGGTCTAGGTCGCCAAAATTAAAAAGGGAACAGCGTACTAGGGTCATATTCAGACCCAGGATCATATTAGTTTTGAGCGGAATTCAGGGTGATTGAACATATTTATTATTTTAAATTACGACTTTTACAGTCGTAAAAAGAGACACCATCCGGCCAGCCGGCTGGGTTCTCTTTCTCTGTCTACCGCAAACCCAGGCATAGTGGTATGTATGTACATTCACTTCTTTTCCTATCATCCTCCTTGTTAATAAAAAGTGTTCTAGTCTCTCTAATCCTACACGCTCTATACAGCAGTTACCCTCAGTTTCTTGATTCTGACATTTTCTTTATTTACAAATCTCTCTCTCGCCTTGGTTACCTCTTACATTTTATCAACTGTGCCTATTCTCAGGTTAAACGAAATTTCTTTCGTCTCAAACCTCTTTCCAACACCAGTTCCACTGTGCTCTGCTTTCCCTTCATAACTGAACTAAAAAATCTCACTAATATCCTTCTTCGAGCTTTACATAAAGCTCGCCTTTCGACAAACTAACACTCTTCGTAGGAGTCTTTACCACTGCTCCTCCTGCTTCTAATGCTGCTCTATTTACTGTTCGTCTTGTCCTCTCCAATACTGTGGGGAAACTGGCCGTAAACTAAATGACAGACTTAAGGAACATAAATGAAGTGTTAAGTCTGCTGACACAAACAATGCTCTCTTCTGTCATGTTAGGTATTCTGATTTTATTGATTGGTTTTCTAAAATAATCTTTCCTGCCTCTACTCTTCACGAACGCCGTCTTGTCAAATCGATACACAATATGTATCTGATAAACTCTGATACACAACATACCCAAGATGCTTGAAAGGATCATCCTAAACCGACTGTTTCACAAAATAGGCAGGCTAGGGGAGGGTGTCAATGGATTTAAGGACGGAGCACAGCAAACTGTATAGTTAATTACTTGGCTAATGACACAGCTAAGTACTCGATCTGTATTTGTTGACATCAAAAGAAACCTTCGATAAAGCACATGGGATTGCGATCCTGGACGAGCTTGCATGCATGAGTGTCAAGGGGAGACTCATGAAAAGGGTTGAGGACTACCTCACAGGGAGGAAAGTCAAGGTCTGCTTCAACGGAGCAGCCTCGAGAACAATGAGTATAGAACTCGGGACCCCCTCTGAGAGGAATCTTAAGCCACACACTGTTCAACATACTTATGAACGCCATTGTAAATTTTGAATTTCCGGAAGGAACGCAACAAGTGGTCCTAATACAAACTCCCACCTTGGGAAAAATTAAACAGTCCATTGAACTCCTTGGAAGAAAAGCTGTTGAACTCGGTTCAAAACATTTCATTTCAACGCAGAAATTAAGAAAAAGCACGTATTGAAGACTATGCCTCTTCAACGCAAGCAGAGCTAATTGCCATTGTTATGGCGTTAAAACTCTTGAAACACTAACGGTGCAGTGATCTGCACTGATTGAAAAGCATCACTACAAAGTATTGGTAAAAATCTGGCAGAAAATCTTGCGATAGTCGCTGAAATCAAGAGAGCTGTGAGAGTACGGAGAGTTACGATCTAGACGGAGATCGTAACTGTGAGCAGCTTTGCGTCTAATTTTACGACCGCTGTTAAACGATCGTAACATTACTTGTTCATTATCGTACTATCGTAACATTATCATTATCGTAACATTATCGTACTTGTCTGATTACTTGACGATCACTTACATTGATCGCATAACACTTTGTACATAACAAAGTACTTCATAAAGTACTTTGTACTTCAGGAAGTGACGTTATCCTAGTTTTCTTAGGATATGAATAATTAACAGACATAATATGGCATCAATGGAAACATTAAAAGTTTTTACGTACCTTGAAAATTGGTGAATTTCTGTCCCACGATGAGCAAATGGGCAATTACCTGAAATGACATGAAAAATCATTATTTATATTCTGTATTTTTTTATATAATAAAATCCTTAAATACTACATGACTAATATATTTAAATCCTCGTATAAGCAGTGCAGGTATAGGTGACGCTTGATCATCGAGGTGTTGCTTACCGTAACAGACGAGCGGGCTGGAGTACCACGTCATCAAGGACGAGGGTGCTGGAGTACCTCGTCAAGTGAGAGCAGGCTGGGACAAGTGGTTAACCCATCATGGCCTGAGACACGCTCACACGCACAAATTTAGCAAGACGACTTAAAATTTCACCACAAGACGAGAGAAACACTGCACAAAGAATTAGACGTATCGACATGGATATAATTTTCTAACAGCAGTTAATGCCTGTGTTCGTTTGTTTCCTGCAAAACACTAAACTATCCCGAGTCAAAACGTTTAGCAGTAACCGCGTTTTCTGCCCTGATATGTCAGTTATTCCTCGCTAATATCACAATGCGCTATAAATATCTCACTAAGCAGCGTACAAATAGTTTAAGTTCCGGCACCCATTAAAAACCAAACTTAATTTCACCTCAACTCGTCACAACACTCAAACAGCTTGTAAATATCACAACATCCAGTCACTCCAGCTCTCTGTAACTAAATATTTACGGAACTTTTAATTTTCCAGCAAAAGTGTGTATGTCATTATTAGCGTTTTAATATTTCACCTTTCCGTCACACTGGGCACAGCTGGTCCTCCTCCTCCAGTACACAACTCTGTACCGGAACTGTCACGCGGAAGAACAGGGTTCAGAAGGTCTTCTTTCGAGTTTCGAGTGAACCTGAACACAACTTAGCCTGAAAACACAAGGCTTCCTTCAGCTCAAGCTGCAAGTCAAACACTGACTTACGTTGATTAAAAAAAAAAGTCAGTATATGACCGACGTTGTGAACCTACAGCCCTTTATTTTGATGATGAGCTGTGTAAACATTGTCAAAATACTTCGTTCACTTCCTGTTTTCAAAGCACACATCACTTAAATCTCGTCTCCAAAATCAAGGACAAAAAGCTCGTTAATTTAGCCCCCCCCCCCACTTGTTTATATTTGAGAAACTCACTATTTTTTACACACGATTCGTTAAACTTGTTAAATGCGTTTTAGAGCCGGCCGCACCTGGAAAGGGCATTACTGAATGATGGGTTGCCAATTGTTTCCCCCACGTATTGCAAATACATATAATTACCTATAGAACCAAAACACTTAACCAAGCATATCATAGGCCTAATTATGCACAAAATTATAGTATACATAAATGTTAACTTCTATTCGCGAAAACATTGTTTTTAGTTACAAAATACATTAATATTAACGAATGTTTTTGAGGTGAAAGCTTGGATGAAAGCCTGTCATTGCTAATGAGGACGTCGAGGAGGACTTGCTGAATCAAATGCGTTAAAATACGTGGCTGAAGTATTTAGGGAATGTGCGCTTGGAAAACACAATGTGAGTAACATTTCCCGAAAGGTGCTTTGCTGTCGTTTTCCCTTCAAATCACACCTGAAAATGCTCCACCCAATAATTTGCAGTGGAACATAACACGTTAATCTAACCTAACTTAGGCTTACCTAGACAGTAATTCTAATATATAACGATATTAATTAATTGATATTTGAGAAAACGGCGATTTTGTATACTCAATATGTTAAAATTAATCAATGTGTCTTTGTGGTGGGCCGCCGCCTGACCCAACACGACTGGACTAACAGTCGTGCTTTTTAACTTTTTATTTTATTTTTATTTTATTATATTATTTATTATTTATTTTATTTTAATATTTATTATAATAATATAATATATAAATATATAAATTAATATAATATATAAATATATAAATTAATATAATATATAAATATATAAATTAATATAATATATAAATATATAAATTAATATAATATATAAATATATAAATTAATATAATATATAAATATATAAATTAATATAATATATCAATTATATTTAAATATAATTTATTATTTATTTTAATATTACTTATTTTATTTTAAAGCTTTTTATTTTATTTTATGTTATTTATATGTACATGTAAAGCATGCTACAGAAATACAATAAAACTATATACAAAGAAGAAGCAGCACTAAAACAGTACAAAGAAACCAAAGAAAACACGAACATGGTACATAAAATAGCCATCGGCAAGGCAAACAAACAAACAAACAAGGCCAAATACTGAGTTATTATGTATTGTTAGTGAGTGCTGTGCAGTTGTTTGTTGTTTAAGATTCGCTACCTAGAACAAAAAGTTCCAAGTAGCACGGGCTATGGTGAGCCCGTAGTGGACTATTACTGTGCAGTGGTGACTGGGGCGTAAACTTGAAAATTATATCTGAAAAATTTCACTCCTTTTGAGGGATAATAGAGATAAGTGTTAAGTCAAAATGATTTACTGACACTGGATGTTGTAATATGTTAATGCCTGATTGTGTACAGTACAATTATAATGTTTTAAAGAGTGTTAAGAGAGGAGTTAAAGAGTGTTAAGAGAGGAGTTAAAGAGTGTTAAGAGAGGAGTTAAAGAGTGTTAAAGAGAGTTTGTTATCATTTTATTAATTCTGATAGAATTTACCTACTTAAAATTTTCTGTTAGATTAAGGACCTGCCCGAAACGCTGCGCGTACTAGTGGCTTTACAAGAGTGTAATTACTGTACTATGCTATGTATTCTCACAAACCCAATGTACCTTCTTTTATATAAATAAATAAATAAATAAACAAACAAGTGCAGGTACTTGAAGTATTCGATTCTTATGTGGCAGTTGTAAAAGTGTAACTGTAGTTTTCATTCAGTTATGTGCAAAAAACCAAGCCAGAAAATGGTCACTGCTTGCTTGATTGCAAGCGGGGATGTTTCTGGCGGGGGAGAAGGAAACAATTGCGCAGCGCGTCCCGCGGCGTTGCGCGGGCAGTTTGGGGCCCCTATAAATACGGGCGCACAACGGGGCTCTGCCCTCACTCCGCCTACCCTCGCCGCTGCCCTCGCAACCACTCCCCGGCCGCCCGACTTCGCACGAGATGGACAACACGCCAGCTGCCTCGGTACCTGACCTCTCTCTCACGGACATCCTGGGGCCCTCGACACCCCAGACTGTTCCGGCAGGCCCCTCCTGCCCTACACTTCTAAACCCAAGGTGAGGTTTTCTGTTCAGTTCTAGTCAGGTCTCCCCAGTGCGGCGTGTGCCAAGCGCCTTCCCCTCGCGGTACGTGTGTGCCGCCTTAGTCAGTCCTCTGGGCTCTCTGTTGTTGTTCCCGGAGAGCTGGGGCGCCCTTCCTGGGCCTGTGCCGGGTGCCCCGTGCCGTGCTGGTCGCGTGGCTGGCTTAGGGTCGGCGTGCCCTGGGCCGCGTCCCTAGTGGCCTGTGTTCGGTCTCCTCTCTTGTGGGGCCCCGTCCAGCCGTGCCCGTCCGTGACCAAGGGGTCCCGCCGCGCGGCGTGCTAGGCGCGCGCCCTGCCCGGGGCCCCATCGGCGGCCAGGCGTGCCCTTGCCGGCGTCGCCATGTGGCCAGGCGTGGTGGGCCCTACGCCCTTTGTGCTCTGCCTTGGGGCCGTCTCCTTTTTATTGGCCTTGGGGTCGTCTGGGGTGCTTCGGCGTCCTTCCCGCCTTTCCTCCGGGGCCCCCTGTCGCCGGCCCGCCGGGTTTCCCTGGGTGTCTCAGGGGGCCAGGTTTCGCCTTGTCCGAGGACATGTGTCGCCGTCGGCGACGGGTTGTGGCCAGGTTCGGTCCTACGCCCGGGGCGCTTGTTCTCGGCGGCGGCGACACGTGGTCAGGCGTGGGCGGCCCTATGGCGGGCCCCGCCTTGGGGCCAATGCATGCCTTGCCGGGTCGTCACGTGCCTGGCCGGCAGGGCGTGCTTCTGCGTCTTTCCTGGTTTTCCCTCGGGTGTTCCCTGTTGCCGGTCTGCCGGCTTCCCTGGGATGTCCCCAGGGGTCGGGTCTCCCTGTGCGGACAAGCGTCGCCCCTGGCGACGACTCGTGGCCAGGTCCAGCCCTCCGCCCGGGCCTGCTACGGGGCACACGCCTGGTCGTGCTGCTACGTGGCACGGCGTTCCGTGGCGCGCACGATTGGGCTGTGTCCCGCCCTTCCTGTCCCCTGTTGGGTGCTAATCCACGTGGCTTTGCGCCACGGCTTCCCACGTCGGGGCTCGGGCTGCCTTGCGCCCGTACGGCCGCGCCTGTGTGCGGCCCCCCCCCCCCCTCCCCTTTTCGTCTAGGCCCTGAGCATGCCGTGTGGCAGCGCGTGGTTGGTAGGCCACGGGGTCCTTGCCGTGTGTGGTGTGTTCTCTGCTAGGCACGTCGCCCTCGGACGTCTCGCCCGGCCGTGTTGCCCGGGGTGTTAGCCCAGGCCCTTCGGTGTCCCGGAGTCTCCAGGTACGTCTTCCCCAGAGTGGCGCCGATCAAGATGTCCCCAGACGTCCGTCGGCCGGTGTAAGTCCGGCATGTAGTCCCCAGACGTATGTCTGGCCGGTGTTGCCCGGTGTGTTATTTCAAGCTTTCCGCCGTCCAGGCCCTCAGGCACGTGCCCTGCTTGCCTGGGGGGTAGCCAGGGCCGTTACTCCATGTCCTCCGTCTGGCCGGTGTTGCCGGCAGGTTGGTTCCCAGGCGCCCCCGCCTGGCCAGGGTAGCCTGGTGTGTTTGTCTTAAGCGCCCTGCACGCCCGTCGTAGCAGGGATTCCTCCTACGTCGTAAGTTCAGCGTTCGTCCGCCTGTGTCGCCTGTTGTTCTTCTTCGTCAGAGGGAGACGCCGGCGTTGGAGCAAGGACCCGAGATCAGCTCGACGACGACGGCAGGTTTACGTCTACGGGTACGCACCACACGCCCTGGGTTCGGCGTGGACGCCGGCAATCCAGGATGACTTCGTTATGTTCGTTAAGTCCTCGGCGTCCAGTTCCAGGGGCCGTGCCCTGGACAGGGGGGTGGCCCCCACGTCGCCTGGGGCATGGTATCCTCCAGCAGATGGCGGCGTCGAAGCGTCGTCGGGAACGTCGTATATTTAATGATCCCCATTCTCTGCCTCCTTAAGACACTGTATATTAAGTCTTTCTCACACTTGGTGTGAAATAAAAATTTGGAAGGTTTCTTATCATGTACTAGCAGACTTCCCGCGACATGCCTTGCCCTTATTCATATTTATGTTCTACATTTCAGCACCGACATGCCTCTGCTTTCAGATCACCTCGGTTTCACTTTGCCCCAGCCTAACTTTACTCAGGCATTCGTAGCCTTGTGCATGTCGTACGTTCTACCTTCGCGTCCGCTGTGTCACAGTTTGCTTGTTCACTTGTCCTTGTCTTACGTCATTAAGTAAAGTCGCCAGGATGTCCTATTTGCAGAGTTATAAGTAATTTATTAAGTAAAGTCAGACAGGATGTCCTATTTGCAGTATTTGCGGGCCCTTAATTTGCTTTACGTTCCCTGGCCCTGCATTTTGCCTAGTTTCCTCAGTAGTTACAGTCTTTCGCTGGGCTCTTGCAGTTTATTCACGTCGCTTATTTGGTTATATTTATGTTATGCATCTCCTCCGTTCTCTTAATGTAAAATGGCTATATATCCACGCCGTTTGTATACCCTTATTTTGTACTTGCAGATCCCACGTGACATGCCTGCCCTTTTTCATAATTATGTTCTACATTTCAGCGCTAACATGCCTCCTGTTTCAGGTTACCTCGACTCCCTTTCCCAACCAGCCTCCTTAATTTACCCCGACAGTTGGTGCGTTGCTTGCCGCACGGTTATTTGTACGTTGCTGTGTTCAGTATGCTTGCCTATGTCACCCTGCCTGCCTCACTAAGTAAAGTCAGCCAGGATGTGCTAGTTGCAGAATTACTAAGAAAATTATTAAGTGAAGTCAGCCAGGCAGTGCTCGTTGCAGAGTTACTAGAAATTTAAGTAAAGTCAGCCAGGATGTGTTTTGCAAAGTTCCTAGAATTATTAAGTAAAGTCAGACAGGAAGTGTTTTGCAGAGTTCCTAGATTTGTTAAGTAAAGTCAGCCAGGCTGTGCTATTTGCAGTTTCGCGGGCCCTTATTTTAGCTTCGCTTCCTGGCCCGGCAATTTGCCTAGATTCATAGGTAGTTACAGTAGTTCATGCTTGGCTATTGCAGTTTATTCACGTTACTTCTATGGTTATTTATGTTATGCTTTCCTCCGATGCTTAATGTAAAATTGGTTTATTTATTCTAGGGCGATATGTTCCATTTAGCCTAACACAATTTAATACTTCTTACTTATTTGGTAACATTTGTGCTGTGCTTCATTTATGGTTGTCATTAAGTGTTTCTATTTATTATAGGGCGAAATGTCCCATTCTCCCTATTCATCCCTGTTACTATTTGGTTACACTTGTGTCGTGCATCCTTTATGTTTGTTATAAAAACATTTTTGTTTACTATAGGGCGACTTGTTACTTTTAGCTTACGTTATTCTTTGTTTCAGCCATCCTTTGTTTCCTTGGCAGTGTCTTCAGTTAGTGTCCCCTTTCCTCGCTGTGGCCTCTAGGCAGCCAGGACGCGCGAGGTGCAGTTGTGGGCCCTCGCCTCTTGCTTTATGCCTCTGGCCCTGCACTTGCCGGGTCCCCCCCCTTTCTTTATTCTCGTTTCAGCACTAACACGCCCCCTGCTTTCTGATTACCACGGTTCCCTTTCCCAATCAGCCTACCTTAATTTATTCCGTCAGCTGATGCTTGCACATGCCGCATGTTTCTGTTGCGTAGCTGTGTTCAGTATGTTTGTTCTTTTCCTTGCCTTCCGTCATTAAGTAAAGTCAGCCAGGATGTGTTATTTGCAGAGTTACTAATTAAATTTTAAGTAAAGTCAGCGAGGATGTGCTATCTGCAGAGTTACCAAGTAATTATTAAGTAGTCAGCCAGGATGGGCTATTTGCAGACTTCCTACGTAAGTTAAGTAGAGTCAGCCAGGTTGCGCTATTTGCAGAGTTACTAAGTAAATTATTAAGTAAAGTCAGCCAGGATGTGCTAATTGCAGCCTTACTAGGTAAATTATTAAGTAAAGTCAGCCAGGATGTGCTATTTGCAGAGTTATTAAGTAAATTAGTATGTCTAGGTATGGCCAGCGGTGCGCGAGCCGCGGCTTATCGGTTGCCCCCCCCCCCCCTGGTTCCCTGTTTACTCGGTCTCGCCCGCTTCCTTCCGCATTCTTCCATCCCATTCTACGATTGTCGCCTCTCGTTTTTGGGCCTATGTCCTTTCTCAGCCGGGTGGTGTGCCGTCCAGCGCGCCTCGGCGACGTTCTTCTCTTCGGACCTATATGCCATTTCCGCCCCCCCCCCCCCAGCCGTGCCTGTCGGGCCCGGGCCCGCCCGTGGGAACCGTCCCCTTGGTCCCTCCTACGTCTGCTTATCTGTTAAATTTGCTACGGTTGGACTCGCAATTATGATTCGTATTTATTACAAAAAATTTTTCCCACAATTTACACTTCGCTTATGTTATGTTTGCTTATCTTATGTTATATGTTATGTTATATGTTATGTTATATGTTATGCTATACGTTATGTTATATGTTATGTTATATGTTATGTTATATGTTATGTTATATGTTATGTTATATGTTATGTTATATGTTATGTTATATGTTATGTTATGTATGTTATATGTTATGTTATGTTATGGTATGCTAGCAGGGGCGGCAGTCGGGTTTTTTCCCCCTGCCTGTCGCCAGGTTAGTCAGGCTGTCACTAACGTTCCCCCTTTCCGCAGTGGCGAGAAGACGGACCACCCTACATCTGCAACAAGGAAGAGGGCTCGGACGGCGTCAACGCGAGGACAGCAACGTAGTGGAGCCCGGACACAACCGGCCAGGGCGCGGACCAAGCCCGCACGCTTTGCCTCACCCTCTACAGAGCCCTCCTCGGCTGGCTCGGACACGGACACCGGGCGCACTCCTCAGCTGCACAATTCGGGCAAAGCAACGGGTGGCACAGTGACCCAACTCCCACCGCTTTCAGCAGATGATTGGACGACGCTGCAGGCCCTCATCGCGCAAGCACGTGGGCCCCCATCGGGCGCGGCTCTCCGCGACGGAGGAGGTGCCACGGCCGCCCCTGCCCTGGCCACCTCTGCTCCGGCCGCCTCAGCCCCCTCGCCCTTCTCCTCTGAGCGTCGCCCACGATACAGGGCCAGGGGGCATTCGTCGAGGCGCCGTGCCAGCTCCTCCAGCCCGTCCTCTTATGGTGAGTCTCCCAGGGTGAGCGCTGCTTCCCCTCCTCCTAGCCCTTGGCTGGGACCCCTACGGGCTCCCCAGGCTTCCACCATCCCACTCCTGGGCGTACACGTACCACAGGCCCTCCGTGAAAAGATCTGGGCTAAAAAGTATGTTGACCTCAGGGAGTTGCTCAATCATGAGCGAGAAGCAGGGCCCTACGAGCCACGCCTCGCGCCCCCCACTGACCCCCAGGCGTCTGGTAAGAAGCTGATGCCACTGACGCCAGCCCAGTGGGAGCACGGCTTCGACATTTATGCCACGCTCTACATAGAGAAGCACCCGGCCGAGGCTCAGGCCCTGCTCACCTACACCCGCTACGTCAAGACCATGAAGGTGACCCTCAAAAACGACTGGATGTGGTACGACAAGGCCTTCAGATGGGACAAGGAGAGGTCGGACTGTTCTTGGCTCGATTACAGGCTGGACCTGGAATTCCGCTCGATACAGCGGGTCGCACACGTCGCTATCCAGGCAGGCAGACAGGAGGCAGGTCGGCCGGCTGCCCTTTCCCTCTCTAGCGCCCGGGCCGCAGGGCTCCCCCCGGGCTACTGTTTTGCCTACCACTCAAGAGGACCCGGCTGCACTTTTACTTCCTGCGCCTTCCAGCACTACTGCCCGCGCTGCCGTGGGCGGCACCCGGCCTACACTTCGTGCCCCCCAGCCCACTTACGCGACAGACCCACCCATGACCAGCGCCCACGAAGACAACCACGGGACAAGGCTAAGAAGAGCGCCGGCAGTAACAACGCCGGTGGACGCCGACGCCCTTGACGCTTTGCTGGCGGGTTACCCCCTGCGAGACTACGTCGTGGGGGGTTTCAGAAGGGGGTTCCTTCTCGGCTTTGAAGGAGTGCGAACCCCCCTTACTTCACGCAACCCCCAGGCTACGACGGACCTCCCGCACATCGTCGGGCCCATGCTCGACAAGGAGTTGAGTCTAGGACGCATCGCGGGCCCCTACGAAGTCCCCCCTTTCAAGAATTTCAAGTGTTCACCCATAGCTCTGAGGGAGAAGTCTACGCCGGGCAAGTACCGCCTCCTGCACAACCTTAGCTACCCTTACTCCCCTGACAGTGTGAACGCCAACATCCCACGGGAATCGACGTCCGTCACCTACCAGTCTATCCATGACGCGGTGACAATGGTTGTCAGCCGGTCCCCGGGGGCTCACCTGGCAAAGTGCGACATCGCAGAAGCTTTCAGGATCGTCCCAGTACACCCGAGCGACTACCATCTGCTGGGGTTTTCTTATGGGGGCAAGTACTACTACGAGAAGATGCTCAGCATGGGAGCCGCCCCCTCCTGCCGGATCTTCGAGTCCTTCTCCAGTGCCCTGCAATGGATCCTCGCCGAGAAGTACGGGGTCTGCGACGTCGTGAAGGTATTGGACGACTTCCTCTTCGTCAGTTTCACGTTCGACGAGTGCCAGCGAAGCCTGAGGGTGTTCACTGCCCTCTGCGAGCGTCTGGGGGTCCCCTTGGCACCTCACAAAACGCAGGGCCCGTGCTCCTGCCTCACGTTCCTGGGGCTGGAGATTGATGCTCACAGGATGGAAACAAGACTACCAGAGGACAAGAGAACGAAGTACACGGCAGCGGTCGAAGTCACGATGAGTCAGGAGCGCATCCCTCTCCGAGATCTGCAGGCGATCATCGGGAAGTTGCAATTCGCCACCGCGGTAATCCCGGGAGGACGGGCCTTCTTGCGTCGTCTGCACCCGCTTACGCGAGGCCCACAGCGTCCCTCGCGCCTATGCCATTTGGACGCGGAGGCTAAGCACGATCTCGTCGCCTGGCGCTCCTTCCTCACTGATTTCAATGGAGTAACAGTTTTTCCCCCAGATGGCGGGTGGGGAAACGCCCCATCACTTTCAATGTGTGCAGATGCTTCTTCCAAGGGGTATGGACTAACGCTAGGGGCAGCCTGGTTCAGGGGAACCTGGCCTCAGGTCTGGGGTCGGCTCAACATTGCTTTGCTCGAGCTCTACCCTTTCTTTATGGGCATAGCACTTTTCGCCCCGGTATTGGCCAATAAGAGGCTGGTGTGTAAATCGGACAACAGTGCAGTGGTAAGCGTGCTCAACACACTCTCTGCTAGGTGCCCACTACTAATGCAAATTGTCAGGCCCTTGGCAGTGCTGTTACTCATCCATAACATTACACTACTTATTCTTATGTGGCAGTTGTAAAAGTGTAACTGTAGTTTTCATTCAGTTATGTGCAAAAAACCAAGCCAGAAAACGCCGGTAATGATGTACGTGACGAAGTGTTGACTCGGGATAGTTTAGTGTTTTGCAGAAAATATTAGACGAAGACAGGCGGCCTTTAACAACTGTTGCCAAATTACATACGTGTTGGTACGTCTAATTCTTTGTGCAGTGTTTCTCGTTTTGTGGTGAAATATTACAACGTCTTGCTAAATTTGTGTGGGCGGGCGTGTCACAGGCCGTGATGGGTTAACAACTTTTTATTTTATGTTATTTATATGTACATGTAAAGCATGCTACAGAAATACAATAAAACTATATACAAAGAAGAAGCACAAAAACAGTACAAAGAAACCAAAGAAAACACCAACATGGTACATAAATTGGCCATCGGCAAGGCAAACAAACAACTATGGTATTTGTGCTTGGGGTTCTACTACCCACAATCATTTACGTCCTCTAATTACTCAACACAAAGCCGCTATTTGGACAATATCTAACTCTGGCCGCAGACATCACTCGGTACCCTTATTCAGATCTCTGAATATGTTAGATATTAAGTCCCTGCACATCCTCTCATGTGTATTTATTATATATATATATATATATATATATATATATATATATATATATATATATATATATATATATATATATATATATATATATATATATATATATATATATATATATATATATATATATATATATATATATATATATATATATATATATATATATATATATATATATATATATATATATATATATATATATATATATATATATATATATATATATATATATATAAAACGCTGAACTGTAATATCAGTCCTGACCTTAAAAGCTTCCTAGAAGGTTGTAACAGATCCCATGAGCACCACACCAGAAACAAATACCTATTTGATATTCCAAGAGTACGACTTAGTCAAACTAGAAATGCTTTACAATTCAAGGGACCTCGAATGTGGAATGACCTTCCCAATTATGTTAAAGACTGTACCTCTCCCTACCAGTTTAAGATAAAAACTAAGTACTACCTAATTAACTCAATGTAACCTACCTCACCCCCAAAATGTCAACCCATGTCTTCTATTTTAAACAATGGTGTTTGTTGACCAACAAACAGCATTGTTTGTTGGTCAAACATCTCCTGCTACCCCAGGTACCAGGAGATGTAGCAATGGCAGGGACCCCTACAATGGGTGCCACCATTGCTGAAATGCTGAAGAGCCCAGGAGCAATGGCCACAGTCAACGAAGTTGTAATGAAAGCAGTAACCTCACAGGAGGCAGCTAGATGCACGAGCCAGTTACTGGAAAGGAAAAGAACTGTAGTAGTGATAAGTGTTAAGGAACAAGAGGGTTCCACAAGGGAAGATTGGAGGTCTAAGGACAAAGCGGCAGTGGCAGGGATACTAAAGGAGATAGTTATGGAAGGGGCTGAAACAGACATAGAAAAGTTTTTCCAGATTGGCCAGTACAACAAAGACAAAGACCGGTTGATCAAGGTAGTGCTAAAAAACGAGTGCATCAAAGAGCATACTAGCAAAAAAGAGCAAACTGAAATATGCAACGAATTACAGACAGGTATTCCTTCAGAGGGACATGGCCAGGACAGAGGTAATATAGGCAGCAGATGCAAGGAAAAGGCGCAGGCAGAGGGAAAGGAGCCAGGGAACCTCAACCCCTAACCCAGCAATCCCAGGGGGAGGATGTGGAACCCCAACCCAGCACCTCGGGAACCCCAGAGGAGACCGCAACATCCCAACTTACCACCCTATAGGTGGGGAGTTCCACCATTCCACCCAATTCCACCCTCCCTCCCTACCCCGAGTGCCCCCTTCCCTCCCACCCCCTGGTGTTCCTCCTGCCCCAAGCCGGCCCAGACACGAACTAAGTCCTCCATCCCCCACCCCAGTTCTAAGCCATCCTTCCCCTGCCCCTCCTTCCCCACCACCCCCACCTCCCTCAGAACCCCTGGTAACTACCCCACAGGAGGATGAGCCTACCCAAGCAGCAATGCCCATGGAACAGCTTCTTGCACTAGTGGGGAGGGTGGGGTGAAAATGGACATAGGAAAGTGAGCTTCAAGGTAATGTACTCAAACGTCGATGGAATTACCAACAAAGCAAGTGAACTGGCAGAAAGGGCGCAGGAAGAAAACCCAGATGTAAAACGACTCACAGAAACAAAATTGTCAGGCGTCATAACAAATGCTGTGTTTCCAAAGGACTTTTATATAGTAAGGAAAGAGAGAGAGATGGGAGAGGAGGAGGAGTGGCTCTGCTGATAAGGAAGGACTGGAGCTTTGAAGAGATGGAAATTCTGGGCTGCGACGGATTCAGAGATTACATAACAGGAACTATGACAATGGGTGGACCTAAGATAATAGTGGCAGTCATTTACAACCCTCCCTTAAATGACAAAAGACCTAGACAAGAGTTCGACAGAAACAACATGGCTACCATTAACATAATAGAGAGAGCAGCTTCAGTTGCTTGCAGGAATGGATCCAGACTCTTAATCATGGGCGATTTCAACCATGGAAAGATAGACTGGGAGAATGAGGACCCACATGGAGGTGAAGACACATGGAGATCTAAACTTTTGGAAGTGAGTACAAGGAACTTTCTAAGCCAACATATCAAGGGGCTCACAAGAATGAGAGGAAATGACAAACCAGCTAGATTCGACCTGATTTTCACCTTAAATGGCTCAGAAATAAGGGAAGTCAAATATGAAGCCCCCATAGGAATGAGTGACCACAGTGTATTGATATTTTAGTATCTGGTAGAAGTAGGGATAACCTATCCAAGGATGGGATTGGAAGGAAAAAGACTAAATTACAGAAGAGGAAAATATGACGAGATGAGGAACTTCCTAATGGGAATACCATGGGAAACAGAACTCAGAGAAAAGAATGTACAGGATATGATGGATTATGTCACTCAGAAGTGTCAGGAGGCTGCAGACAGGTTTATCCCAATCAAGAAAGTGAAAAATTAAAAGCAACAGAAAAATCCGTGGTTCAACCAGGAATGTGCAGCAGCGAAGCAATTGAGTAAAAGAATATGGTGAAACTACAGGAACAACAGAACACCAGAGAGCAGGGAGAAATACCAGAGGGCCAGAAATGAGTACAACAGAGTGAGGGGAGAAGCAGAGAGGCAGTATGAAAATGACATCGCGAGTAAAGCAAAGACCCAACCAAAACTGCTCCACAGCCACATCAGGAGGAAAACAGCAGTGAAGGAACAAGTGATGAAACTGAGAAAAGGGGAGAAGATACACAGAGAACGATAAAGAGGTGTGTGAAGAACTCAACAAGAGATTTCAGGTCTTCAGAACAGAATAAGGAGAGGTCCCTGCACTAAATGAGGAGGCAAACCGAACAACCTTGGAGGAAATTTACCTCACCAGTGATGAGGTCAAAAGGAATCTGTTGGAGCTGAATGTGTCAAAGGCTGTTGGGCCTGACAGAATCTCACCGTGGATTGTAAAAGAAGGTGCAGAAGCACTAAGTGTGCCACTCTCAATGGTGTATAACAGGTCACTGGAAACGGGAGACCTTCCGGAAAGCTGGAAGACAGCTAATGTAGTCCCAATTTACAAAAAGGGTGACAGGCAAGAGGCACTGAACTACAGGCCAGTTTCCCTAACTTGTATACCATGCAAGGTGATGGAGAAGATTGTGAGGAAAAGGCTCGTACAGCATCTGGAGGGAAACAGCTTTGTAGCACACCACCAGCATGGGTTCAGAGATGGTAAATCGTGCCTCACAGGCCTAAGAGAATTCTATGACCAAGCAACACAAATTAGACAGGAAAGAGAAGGGTGGGCAGACTGCATTTTCTTGGACTGTCAGAAAGCCTTTGATACAGTACAGTGGTACCTCGGAATGCGATTGTCCCTGTATGCGAGGTTTTCGGAAGGCGAGGTGTATTTACTCCAAAAATTTGTCTCAGAAGGCGAGGGTTACTTCGGGAGGCGAGTTTGGACGCGAGTTTGTTGATACGCGTACAGCCGACCTAGCGCGTTCGTCGCCCCTCCGCCCCTCAGTTTATTATTGTCTCGCGCTCAGTGACTACCCCCACATCAATTCTTCTCGCGGATTTTCAGTGTTTTGTTGGATTTTTGGTGATTTGTCTATACAATTTGTTATTATATATCTCACCATGGGTCCCAAGAAAGCCAGTGGTATGGATAAAGGCCAGAAAGCTCATGTGAGGATGACAATAGAGGAGAAACAAGAGATCATTCGGAAGCATGAGAACGGTACACGTGTTGTTGAACTTTGTAGGCAGTACAACAAAGCCACATCAACAATATGCACTATACTTAAGAAGAAAAATAAGATTATGGGTGCTAAAGTGGCAAAAGGAGTAAGAACATTAACGGCACAAAGACCACAAATACTTGAAGAAGTGGAAAAGTTGTTATTAATTTGGATACACGACAAGGAGTTGAGGGGTGATAGTGTTTCGGAGGCCATTATTTGTGAGAAAGCCAGGGTGTTGCACGAAGACCTTCTAAAGAATACCCCTGCAACGAGTGATGCAGATAAGAAAGAGTTTAAGGCAAGCAGGGGCTGGTTTGAAAAATTTAGAAAGAGAAGTGGTATCCATAGTGTTACAAGGCATGGGGTTATGTGATGTGATTATGGAAGGGGACTCCCCTTCCAAACAGTAACTCCTCTCCTCCTCCCCCCTCCTCGCCATCTTCCATACGCCTACAGCACTCGACAGCAAGGTAAGTAATAACTGGAACACAGTTTTGTAGGTTTATTTAGATGAATTAGGTAAATTAGGTATAAAAATTTAGTTTGATGTGGGGTTTTTGGGGTAGTCAGGAACGGATTAATTCATTTCCCTTTAATTCTTATGGGGAAATTAACTTCGGAATGCGAGTTTTCGGAAGGCGAGGCGTCTCCAGGAACGGATTAAACTCTTATTCTGAGGTATGCCTGTACCTCACATAAGACTGTTACAAAAGTTGGAGCAGCAGGCAGGAGTAAAAGGTAAGGTGCTCCAGTGGATAAGGGAGTATCTAAGCAATAGGAAACAGCGAGTAACAGTGAGGGGGGAGGCATCAGAGTGACGAGATGTCACCAGCGGAGTCCCACAGGGCTCTGTACTCGGACCCATCCTGTTTCTAGTATATGTAAATGACCTTCCAGAGGGTATAGACTTATTCCTCTCAATGTTTGCTGACGATGCAAAAATGATGAGAAGAATCAAAACAGATAAAGATAGACAGAGACTACAGGACGACCAGGACAAACTGGAGGAATGGTCTAGAAAATGGCTGCTAAAGTTCAACTCAGGAAAGTGTAAAGTAATGAAATTAGCCGAAGGGAACAGAAGGCTGAACACAAGGTACCATCTGGGAGGTGAAATCCTACAAGAGTCAAATAGAGAGAAAGATCTGGGGGTCGATATCACATCGAACCTGTCCCCAGAGGCCCACATCAAAAGGAGATCATCGGCGGCATATGCTAGACTGGCCAACATAAGAACTGCCTTTAGAAACTTGTGTAAGGAATCGTTCAGGACCCTGTATACCACTTATGTAAAACCAATCCTAGAGTACGCAGCTCCAGCCTGGAGTCCATACCTAGTTAAACACAAGATGAAGTTAGAGAAGATTCAGAGGTATGCCACCAGACTGGTCCCGGAACTGAGAGGAATGAGTTACGAGGAAAGGCTAAGGGAGCTGAACCTCACAACCCTGGAAAACAGAAGAGTAAGGGGAGACATGATAACCACCTACAAAATTCTCAGGGGAATTGACAGGGTGGACAAAGACAAACTCTTTAGCGCGGGTAGAACACGAACAAGGGGACACAGGTGGAAACTTAGTACCCAGATGAGCCACAGAGACGTTAGAAAGAATTTTTTCAGTATCAGGGTAGTTAACAAATGGAATGCATTAAGTAGTGTTGTGGTGGAGGCTGACTCCATACACAGTTTCAAATGTAGATATGATAGAGCCCAATAGGCTCAGGAATCTGTACACCAGTTGATTGACAGTAGAGAGGCGGGACCAAAGAGCCAGAGCTCAACCCCCGCAAACACAACTAGGTGAGTACTAGGTGAGTACACACAAATTCACATACAGAAATACATATACCGACACAGGATCATATACAGAAACAAGACACAGAGACAGAGTCACAAACAGGGACAACACGGTCAAACGGCCCACAAAACAAACACAAATATAGAAACATTGTACATGCAGGCTGGAGCTGCGTACTCTAGGATTGGTTTTACATAAGTGGTATACAGGGTCCTGAACATACACAAATACTTATACAGAAATACATAAACTGATACATAAACATATACATGAACAAGGCACAGAAACAGGGACAGAAACACAAACAGAGACAACACAAGGAGCCTACGCATATTTATGCGGAAACTCCCGCACTGGAAAACGTAGCAGAACGCCTCCCAAGCAAGCAGGAGGTCATCGGAAATACGACCCCTGGCGGCGCCCGAGGCCGAGGCATCAAATCAGGTATATCCGGATAATCGCGTGTCTACAGTATGGCTACTCCCTTTCCTCGTCTAATATATCTGTGTGAAATAGTTCAAATCCATTTTTTGATATTCAGCTAATAGTTCTCTATTTTCTACATTCATCCACATTTCAGTAAGTGCAATAATATCTAATTTTTTCTGTGCAGAGAAGAGCATTTAAATAGTTATTTTGTTTCTTAGACGCCTACTGTTTGTGTAATATTATTTTGAGGCCCTTCTCTTCCCCAAATCTTTTTGCCACTTGTTTCTCCCACAAACACGAGTTTATTAACTCCTTTCTCCTAACTACTAACAGTTTAAACCCAAACCCCTCAAACCACAGGTTCTGAGTTGGCAACAGCAACAACTCCAGCCCTAGATAGATGCACCCCATCTCGGTCATACATGTCATTTCTTCCATATAAGTGTTTCCAATTATCCATGAATGATATTGCATTTGATATGCAATATTTATACAGTCAGCAATTGACACCAAGTGCCCTCAACAACCATTCATTTCTAACTCCCTTTCTTGGAAGAATGCCACACATGATTGGGATTCCTCCCTTGCTCCTAACTAATTCTATGGTTTTCTTAAACCTCTGTATCAGTTCCTCACTCCTAACTCGTCCAACATCATTTCCACCAGCACTGATACAAATAATTTGTTTGTTCCCATATCCAGATATATCATCATTCATGTTGTTAACAATATCACCAATTCCTGCTCCTGGATAGCAAACCCTTAACCTGTTCCCTCTATCTCTGGCACAAAAAGCTCTATCCAGGTATCTCACCTGAGAATCTCAAAATCTCAAACAACCAAAATTTGCTTAGGTACTACCTTCATTCTTATGCTATAGCATAAGAACATAAGAATCTGAGATGGTTCTCGGAATATATAAAGCAGTTCCTCACAGATTATATCATAGGAACTGTCCATGATTAATGAACAATGAATACTGCTAAACCAAGGAAATGAGAATCATATTTATACAAACGTTAACAATTTACAGGTGTTTATTCACATAAATATATACATCATCATCATTTTAAAAATAGTCATAGTACTTATGGTTATCACATCTCGCCAACAATTATAATTAACATCAATTTGTATTTTACATCCTATTCTCTTAAGTATATAGTTCCACCAAAATGGGTTATCTAACTGAAATTGTACAATTTTTAGTTAAGTTACTATGTATATCTAGAGGGGGTTGAATAGTGCTGAAGCCAATGCATCTCTTCTCAACTTGTCCTCTTAAAAATAACGTTGCTTTTGGCCGTTTGCCCGTATGGCCGAAAGTAGATGTAATTTGAAAATGAAAAAAAAATAAATGAAAATAAATTTGGGATTTTTTTTTTCAGCAACAGGAAGTTAAGGGTCCTCTGATAGGTTAGGTGGGCAGGAAATTCTCATAAAGTTTCAAAACGTTATGAAAAACGTTAATTGAAAGTCTTCCTCTTCTAACCTTACCGAGCAAGCCGGACGACTCAAACAGGAAACGGAACAGTACGTCACTTTTGTGAGTCGGTTTCATTTCAAATTACGTCCAAATTCGGCCATAGCGCGCATACGAGCCAAAAGTTACGTTATTTTTAAGAGGACGGTTGCTCTCCTACTACAAGGAAGGAATATGGAGTAAAGTGTCTGCAGTAGTGCAGGGAGGGGGGAGAAAGGGTTGTCCTACTTCTGCCACTTCGACAACCACCTCCTCATCACCATCATCTAGCTACGTCACCACTACTACTTGCATCTCATCATTATCATCATCATTCGGGATATCGGGATGACCATAGGCTAGCGACTGAGTTGGGCTTAGAATGTAGCGTTTATCATCAAAAGCTGACAAACCTCTGCACGTACTGCAACATGTGCAGATCTTTCCTTGCACATTTCGGATAGATCTGGAGACAAACCGGATTGAAGTGTTCGTTTCAAGCGCGCGTTGAAATGATTCGTGTGACAGTTTCTCTTGGAGGTGGTAGGGTACTCCCTTACACTTACAGGTGTGGTCTCCATCCTGTGTGGTGAAAGAGTATGTTTTAGGTCTAAGAGCAATTAATTGATTAATGATCTTAGTCCCAATTACTGACTTGAGCAACCCTAGTTCACCTTCGCGTGATATGGGGTAGGATGGGCGAGTGTCAAGAAAGTTGCTAAAATCCATACAGTCAACGAGAGGAGCCTTATTCAGCTCTTCAAACACATCACAACAGTTAAGTTTAATGATAAAAGAGTCTGTGTCTGTATATAATAGACTGGCTTTATCCCCATATGCCGGTTTTACCACATTGTACCAGAACTCATAGAGACGTCTCTTAGCAATTTGGAGTATGTGGTAGCCAAGATACACAGGAGTGTTGACTAGGAGAGACTTCGGATTTACAGTGCAGATCACACGGTCTTTACTTAACAACAGACTACGCTTGAAGAAAGGGTTACCCGTGCATTTTAGGAAAGCTTTACGATCTGTGACCAAGTAGTGTTTGTTCCCATATTTAGATACATCTGTGAGACTCTTACTATAGATAGAGTTTGATACAAGTTTGAAAGCCTTTTTTTTTATAGCACATTTGGTAGTGGCTCGTTCACGAACATTGGTTTCAATAAAATCTTTAAGATAGGCCTCCTGGTCAAATTCGTAGATGTCATGAACTTTAGCTACTTCTAATCCAATATGCATGAGCAGCTGTAACAAATCAAGACTAACCAGATAATCTTTCTGAGGAAGATGTGAAGCAATTAATTTAGTGTTGTTTTTAGGCAGACCGCGTCTTTCTTCGGTAAGAATATTCTTACTGTAAGTTGAAATCTGATCTTCTGTAATGCAAGCGTGTGAAAGAACTAGGGGTAGTTCATCCGTATACCTAGCGACCTCTGGAGAAACCTGCACTGTATCACACAATACCCAGTATCCTTTGGGTCCATCACACGCGATATTCTCCAATCCCCGCTCTATCATTATGTCACGCTCATTGTGAGTCAGCTTCCGTATACCACCGCGGGGGAGCAGTTCAGTCATACACACACCGTACAAGCTGTTGAAGTCCAAGTAGATGATGTAACTACTATCATCACTCGGCTCTGAGCCTGTGTGTTGGTTCTCCACATTCGTGTACTGTCTAGTTACACTTGTGAACCCCCCACGGAGATTCCGGCAGAGTAAGTCATATAACAGTGGGTCTGACACTACATCCAGTTCAACTTTAGATTTAAGCAAGAATGCATCCCAAGCAAATGAGGGGAGAGAAATGTAGTGAGAAATGTCTAATTTGTAGAGGGTAAGCAATGTATCTCGCCAGACTGTGAACACATCTGCTAACAATCCAGTGTTTACTTTGAGATATAGAATGAGATATTCCCCAATGTTGTGACACTGAGCTAGATCGAAAATTTCTAACGCCTGCTTATACTCTTTTTCTGATAACTCTTCATCTTTCAACGTGTTGTAAAACTTATCGCGAGAAGGAAGACGTGGCTCATCTAGTACACTCATGGATGACAAGTAATCGTAACAGAAAGCTTGTTTACCATTTAACAGTTTAGGGATAGCTGCCTTATTTACACCCTGTAGCATAGCTAAAGTAAAGGTGGTAGGTTTACCGCTATCAATGTGGTCTTTAGCAATTCTTCCTAGTGAACCGTTAAGAAGGGCTAAACTATCCAAAAATAGCAACGTGTTCACACCAACGTTCGTAAATTTAAATCCATCCATAGCCAATATATCTATTTTCATCTTAGGTCGCTTCTTTATCTCGTTTAGGATCACCCCCAAATCATATGAAGCATTGTGTGAGAAAGAGTAGAGAAACTCATTGGAATTTATACACTGCAAATTACAACGATCACAGTAAGCAGCTTTATAATTATGAACTCTCACAGTGTGATCGTAATGTTTGACTTTGATTACATCATCCCCGTTAAAGGGTTCATCACAGAGCTCACAGACTGTTTTTGTCTCAAATATAGCTTCTTGTTGTGGGGACATGTCAAGTTTGTAAGATTCTTGTCCCCTCTTGATTCTAGCCCATGACGCTTCTAGTGTGGTTACAAAGTGATTGACAGCATCTTTACCTAAATAGGTATCTGTCTTGACAATGTTCATCTGTCTGTCAATGATAATGTAAGCGTAAGCTACCGCGTTATGACGTGACTCGATCATACCTTTAGGGTTAGATCTATCTAGAATACACTCAAAGTCATAAAAACACATGTGACTTGGTCCATATTCTCGTCCATAGTTACGGAATGTAATCTTCCTCTCTTCTGAATAAAATGTAAGGGTTTGATGAGCTTTACACGACTCCTCATGAGCTTGCATATGAGTGGGTGAAAGTGAAATCAAACAACAATGACAAAAGATGTGATGTCTAGGGATGTCGTTAGCATTACGCATATTGCGTACATACTTGTTAAAATCTTTAATCAACACCAGATGTTGAGATTCCAACATTAGCAGTGGTACAATATCTTTATGTTCCCCTCTTCCTTTCCTAGCTAGGGCAATGAAATATTGTCTTGTATTTTCACCTCTTTCCAGTGCATAAACAAAGATTCTGACATTGTTAATTTTTTCTACTTTACCGATATCCTCAAATGTTACTGGGGAATTAATATCTGCTGGCCAGTTTATGTATCTTAGACACCAGCTAGCTTTCACAGATCTGCTGCGAATATTACCTAGATGCATACCCATAGCTAAACATTTATATGCAGCAAGACATTGCATAAGACAGATATTAAGTTCACCATAAGGATTGAAAACAAGTTGTTTCCCGCGCAAACCATAAGGATACTCTACTCGCGAACCTAGTCTTATGGGGTGCTCAATTTGACCACAGTTGATGTAAAACCCAGTTAGACATTCAACAACTACATTCGATCGTTCCCTTTCTTCTAAATAGCGAGATATTTTTTCGTCTAACTCATCAGCCCAGAAATCTATAAGCGTGTTTACTTCCTCTCGCGTAATTGTCCGCCCCTTGCCCCATATAGGAAAACCGTCATTATTGATTGGGTCCAGCATATCTTCCTCTTCTTCACACACATTTAAATTACGTACAATCAGAGTGATGTCTGGGTAAATGAACAGTGAGGGGTGTTTTGGGGTGAATTGGGTCATAATCTGGTCAATAAAAAATTGTCTGAATGTTCTTAAATACACACTAGGGAATGTGTTAACGTGCGTGGGGATTGAAAACGAATATCGTATATACGCTCCATCATAATTTTCAATTCTGTTTAAGACTTGTGGCTGGATTACTTGATCTGGTGGATCAGTAGTAGCTGATGGTGGTGAGTTGGGGACCGCTGGTGGTGGTGGCGAGTGGGGGATCTCTGGTGGTGGTGGTGGAGCGGGGGGGACTGCAGGTCGTAGGGGTGGTGAGTGGGGGATCTCTGGTGGTGGTGGTGGTGGAGCGTGGGGGACTGCAGGTCGTGGGGGTGGTGAGTGGGGGATCTCTGGTGGTGGGGGTGGTGAGTGGGACATCTCTGGTTGTGGGGGTGGTGGTGGAGCATGGGGCACCATGGGTGGCGGGGATGAGACTGGAGGTCCACCTCCGCGAGCCGAAAGCAGCTCATCTTCCTCCCTGTCAGTCATTAACGATACAATGTCACTATCTTCACTACAGCTGCTGTTGATGCTGTCGCCAGTAGTTACCAAGTCAATACACAGTATTAACCCTTAAAGTGCGCATCACTTCATATGAAGTGTAAATCGTTTTACCAGTCAACTGCGCTTCACTTCATATGAAGTGTATGGGTACCGCGCACGATTTGAATGGCCCGCGGTGTAGCTGGGGGTCCCATACGCTGCCCAGGGGCTCTAGTAAACAGCGGCCATTTTGAAAAAAAATCCAGCTCACGCTCCGATGGCATGGGAGGCCTCAGTTTAGCGAGAGTCACCATGGCGAGCGCACGGTCAAACGCCTCACGGGCACGCACCACTCAGTCCCTCACCCCAGAGCAAATAGCCCACGAATTATTCTCTGAAGGTGAAGAAAGTGTGTTTGACGATTCAGACAACGATGAGGATTATACACAGTTGTCGGGAGATAGTAGCAGCAGCAGTGAAAGTGAGAATGACCGCCATGCCATGGCGAGGCCTATACGCTCTCCCATGCCTCCTCGCCCATTTTCTACCCCAATTCTACCACGACCTCACAGTTCCTGTGGATATTTTCTGTTTGAGGGTGACGAGTCAGAGGGAGGTGACTCCTTTTCTGGGTTTAGTGACTCAGATCAAAGTTTTATTGAGCCTGTGGCTGGTACCAGTGGTGTAACTGGGCGAGAAATTGTCGCGTCAGCAGCATCTCGCCCAGCCAAGCGCCACCGCATGGCACCACATGAGGGACCAAGACCCTCGTGTTCACGTGCACCCACCTCACGTGCACGTAGCCGCCGTGCTTCTCGCAGACGGTATTCAGCTCCTGGTCGCCGGTATGCATCGCTTCCTCGCCGTCTTTCCTCTGCATCTCGCAGGACGCCTGGTGTACTTGAGTGGAGTGATGGTGACGATTTTATTCCTAATATTCCTCACTTTGACGATAAAGATGTAGGGATTACAAACCTTTTCCCTAATCAAGGTGAGGACATGGCTGAGATGGAATATTTTACAGCATTCTATGATGAACCACTCATGGAATACATTGTACACCAAACGAACCTGCATGCTGCTTACCTGATTGAGAGGGAAATCACAGAATTTTCACGACTGCAGCGTTGGAAAAATACCACAGTGGCGGAAATGTATGTGTTTTTGGCACTCTGTTTGTTGATGAAGCACTGTCACAAACATGCAATAAATGACTATTGGAGCAAGGACAAGACAATACCAACACCTTTATTCGGGAAATATATGTCACGAGACAGGTTTCAGATACTCCTCAGGTGTCTACATTTTGGAAGTGTTCAGGACCGAACACCTGATGATAGACTGTGGCGAGTGAGGCACTACATGAACGATGTTATTGGAAAATTCAGAGATTTTTACGTACCAGCACAGAAGCTGGTGGTTGATGAATCTCTCATACTTTTCAAGGGACGTGTTCCATTCAAACAGTACATTCCCTCAAAACGAAACCGATTTGGCCTGAAATTTTTTGTTCTTTGTGATTGTGAGACAGGATACGTGTTACACATGATTCTGTACTCGGCTAGTGATGTAGACATTCCCGGTAACGACGAACATGGATTCTCGGGGAGTGTAGTGAAGACCATCATGGCTCCGTGGATGAACAAGGGACACATTTTATACACAGATAATTACTATACAAGTCCCTTGCTAGCTCGGTTCTTGCTAGAAAATAGAACCGGATTGGTTGGTACAGTAAAGCCACAACGAAGGGAAATGCCTGTGTTTGACAACGACATTGCAGTTGGTGAGTGTCAGAGAAGGAAAAGTGATAACATTCTGTCAGTTCGGTGGAAAGACAAAAGAGAGGTGAACTTGTTGACAACAATTCATGATGGAACAATGGTGAACAGTGGGAAAGTGAGCCATAAAACAAACGCACCACTATATAAGCCAGACTGTGTTTTAGACTATAATATCAACATGCGGTTGATTGATAAATCAGACATGATGATTGGCACTGCAGAGTGTGTGCGGAAGACATGTAGGTGGACGAAAAAAGTGTTCTTCCATCTTGTGGACATGAGCATGCTGAACTGTTTCAACATGTACCTTGTGAGAACTGGACGTAAGCCCACTTTCCGTGACTTTGTATTTGATGCTGCAATACAGTTATTAGGAAAGTTTGCAAAAGATGTCCCAGGTATTCAGCGGCCCATCATAAACCCACTGTTGCAGCATGCTGGTACTCCACGCCTCGCTCACACTGAAGGCTTCCTAGCACACAAACTTAAGTATTTGCCACCTGGTGTGAAGCGTGCAATAGCCCAACGTGATTGCTTGGTGTGTAAAACAACGACACGTAGAGACAAGAAACGGAAGCTTGTGCAAACATGGTGTGAAACGTGTGGTATCCCATTATGTGCTGTCGACTGCTTCAATGACTACCACAGTCTAGAAATCTTCTAAGTGTGCTTCAAAGTGTGTATAGCGTGTGCGAGTGTGTAAATATGTAAACATATAAGCAGAACATATAATATAATAGACTGTAATGACATATTATATTGCCGTAATTGAAAACATTTGTGTGCGCCTGTGTATACTCAAATATGCAACAATTATTGATACAAAATATGTTCAAACAGTATTTGAAACACAATTAGTGAAAAAAAATTAGATAAAATGCGCTTAGACATTGTAAATAAATAGCGCGAAAATATATTTGTGGCAACTCTGGCTGTTTGAGGACCGCGCGCAACACCTTCCGGGCGTGTACTGCATGAGCGAACATGCAGATTGTGACGTCATCGCAGAGCTTCTCGGCTCTATTGCAACAAAAGTAAGTACAATAGAATTTTTTTTTATTTTTCCCGTGATCAGTGAACAGAACTTAACAGATTAGCAAAAAAAAAAAATTTTTTTTTTTTTCAAAATGACATGCGCCTGTGTGGATAGCAGGATATTAGACCCCGAGCATGTTAAGGGTTAAGGGGGCCCGGTGCTTGTGAGCCCTAAGCTTCCTCAAACACACTAATTTTTTGTGAGTAATATCTTCGTGGTAAATGCTTTAGCTTTTCCTAATGGATCATCATCATACCATATAAATAAAAAAAAAAAAAATCATAATTTTCAATTACAGTAGTCTCAAAAATACTTAAAATGTCATCTATTGTTATTTTATTCATTACGGTCTCAGGATGGCATATAACGTTTACATTCTTTGCTAAAAATTATTGTTTGAGAGTACAGTGTATAGTTTGCTGTAAAAAAAAATTTCAATGTGGCCATCCAAGTACAGTACTCTATGTGCAAAATTTAGAAAAAAAAAAAACAGCATTGAATGTAATGAAACACCATTTTCTGGGTGAGCCCCGGAGGCTCCCTGGAGCTATTGGGCTAATGTATGTTATATTAGACTGGGACATTAGCTATGGAGTTTAGACCTACCAGAGACCAGAGCCAGAACCTGGCCTCTTCAGAGAGGTTTCAGGGAGCAATGGCCCTGGAATACCTCCTTGTGGTTGGGGTTAATCCCTATCTGCCATTGACTGGGGTTAGGCACCCAGAAAGGTAGGCATAACAAAACAAACCCCACATGTTAAGAAACTAAAACAAAAAACCGAAGAGAGGTAGAAACTCCCTACAATCCCAAGAAAACAAGCAAACAAGCAAACATCACACTTTACTGCCACGCTTGTCCACGATCCTGCCCAGGGACGTCTAGCACCTCCCCTCCCCCGCGGGGGAGAGGGGGGTGGCCATAGACCGGGGGGGAGGGGCCACGGACCTCACCGCACCAGCTGCCTACCATCAATTCGGAAGCTAAGCTTCAACCAACGCGAAAAAAATGCTGACCGGTGGGAGCGAGGGTTGACAAGGAGCCTCCGGGGCTCATCCAGAAAATGGCGTTTTATTACATTCAACGCTGGTTTTCTGTGGGAGCCCCTACAGCTCCCTAGAGCTACATACCCAAAGAGAAGGAAAAGAAAGGGCTGACCCGCGAGGTGGCCGCCACAAACTCCGCAACACAAAGTCGAGACAACTGGCATCTACCTGCAACCAAAAGCAGCACAAGAATGCACAGGAGACACGCTCACAAAAGAACAGGCGGCCAGGAACCTGGGCGACCCCCAAATCCTCGCGCCCGAAAGGAGCCAAAGACGTCACCAAACAAGGCAGCAAAAGCTGCAAACGTCTGAACGGCACGGGTGCAAGGATAGACCGCAGGCTGGTAGACTTAAGAAACCTGCGGAAGACCTGGGAGACCCGAACCCTGAAACAGAGAACAAGGGGAACTGGATCAACCCAACGCGCATCCCCAGCCATGGCACGCAGGTAACAGTAAAGAGCCGTAACCGGACAACACATGTCGCACCCCTGGCCGAACCAACTATGCTTGTGGCTCACTGCTTGCTTGTTTTACTAAGAATCTGTCTGAAGACACTTGTTTTTCGTTACATTTTAACACTTGTCTGTAGTAAGACACCACATTGTTGTTTAAAAGGTCAATGCAACGGCCTGCTACAGCTTTATCTAGATGAGTTTTTTCAACAAAACTTTGCAGTTCTTCCAATAATTCACACATTCTCTTAATGAGGAAGGGACATCTTTTACTGCCTCTACTCACAACTATTTTCTTAGGTTGAACCTTACCGCTGGCTTTCTTGGGACCCATTGCGAGATATATAATAACAACTTTTATGCTCAAATGGCCAAATATCAGAGAAAAAACTGCAAATCCTTGTGAAGAATTCAGGCGGGATAGTCACTGGGCGCGAGGCACTGGTAAACTGAGGCGCGGTAGCTGTGCCACCACGCACTAGGTCGGCCCGTACGCGTATCAACAAACTCGTTACCCGATGCAATGCTCGTACCCTGATGCAAATTTTCCGAACAAATCAGGCTCATAACCCGAAAAACTCGTAAACAGGGACGCTTGTAACCGGGGGTTCCACTGTACTTCTTTCCCCCAGTTCAGCTGTTGCTCCAGGTCCTAGCTCTCTTGAAGACTTAACAGGGAAGAGTAGACCTCTTGACCCCATGGTGGCCGGCCCAGCCTCGGTTTCAGGCGCTGCCTGCTCGGTGTCCGAACCTGGATGTTTTTCCGCGGCTTAGCCTCTTTCAGCAGATCGATCCGGTCCGTTACAAGACTGGTTTGCTCTTCTCCTCGAGTCTTCGCATTTAGTCTTTTTGACTTGAGTCTATCACTGTCTGTATGGTGATCAGGGTGCTTCTTTGATGGTGTCTCACCTGCGGGTTTCGTCTCGGCGGCAGCATGAAGTTTCCTGGCGGTCCTTCCGGTTCTTTGTCACTTCGTTGTTGTCTCCTTTCTCTCGTGGCTGTTTCAGGACTGTCATCTTATGCCGAATACTGTTGCCTCATATCGTGCCGTGTTGGCAGAGCCGCTATAGCTTTCTTTCGGTATTGATGTTACTTCTGCACCGTTTCGTAAGCTGTCTCAAGCTGTGTTTCACCTACGGCCTGCTCATGCGCCACCTGAGCCGAACTGGTCTTTGGACAGTGTGCTCTCTGGATTGTTTTTCCAAAGCTCTTATTTTTTGGCATTGGCCTCTGGGGGTCGGGTTTGGGAGCTTCATGCTCTCCTCTGGCACATGGGTTTCTGCTCTTTTGGTAGAGGTGATAGTTTTGTTCGTTTGCAGCCATCTCATTCTTTCCTTGCAAAGAATGAGACTGCTGCTTTCTGGAGGGGTCTTTGGGTTGTTGATACTTGGTTGGTCAGGCCAGGGGTGCATCATGTGTTGTGTTTGGTTGCGGCTCTCCACCGTTATTTGCGCACCACGGCCTCTGTGGCTGGGGATGCGCTTTGGGTTGATCCAGTTTCCCTTCTTCCCAGTTCTCGGGTTCGGGTCTCTCAGGTCGTTCGCAGGCTTATTCGGTCTTGCCAGCCTGCAGTCTATCCCTGACCCCATGACGTTCGTAAGTTTACTGCATTTGCTGCCATTTTGGTAATATGTCCTGGGCTGACATTCGGGCGCGGGGATTTTGGCGGTCGAACAGGGTCCTGGCTGCTCGTTACCTTGTAAACTTTACTGGGCCCGGTCGGGCCTGTGTCGCTTTGGGTCGGCAGATGCAGCCAGTTGTCTCGACTTCAGGTTGAGGAGTGAGCAGCAACCACCTCCCGGGTAAGTCCCTATTCTTTCCTCTGTGGGTAGTTAGCTCCGGGGAGCTATAGGGGCTCCCCCCCAGAAAACCAGCGTACAGTAATAATAAAACTAATATTTCTCCTACAACAATACTGTTTGTGGTGCTATTACGCTATATACACAGAGTATATATAAATATCTACCTGTTTTATTCACCATACTTGTACAAGTAAACTGGTATGGTGCTCAAAGACCATCGTGGTCATCAGTAAACAACATGGTAAGTCCTGCAGACGACGCTCCTCCCTCACCAAAATGGCGGCTCCCAACCTACTCCTCTCGCTGTTTATACCCTCTATACACACGTTATATATAAGTACAGTATCTACATTTGTGTTCACCATAGCGAACCACTAAGCTGGTATGGTGAGTGCAGTCAATAAAAGGTGGCCACACACAGTCAGAAGATAATGCCACTACCCTCCCCTCCCACAGCATTACTCCTCCCTCCATGGCGCACAGTGCTAAATATCACCACAATCCTGCTATTATCAGAACCCTGGTCAGTTTTATCACAGTCAGGGGTTTTCTGTAATAATATCATCGCTACATAATAGCATGAACAAGAATATTATGGCATTTTTAGGCGATGCTGTGGTCACAAGCTGAACAGCAGTGCTGTGAGTTCATGCTGCGTGCATCAGGCTTGGTTACTCACTCAATACCAAGGCCCCTAACCCTCAAGGTTCTGTTGTAGTATTAGTCTGGAGAGACATAATTTTATTGTTGATTTACCTGTGATTTGCCCATATGTTGCTTGATATATAATTCTATAGTTAACTGACTTATCTTTATAATATACCATTATTTTATGTGTGTGATTTACTAAATCCTAAGGGGGTGAATAATTTTAATTCTTGCCTGTACAAACCATGGGATTAGACTGGTGTCCCACCATGAGATTGCAGTAGCAGTAAATGTCCCTAGACTACAATATTTTATTGCTGTAAGGGACACGAGCATCAATGAACGGTTTGTAACACCCTCTAGAAACAAACACATGCGGGACTGCAGCCAAAGGAGAGACTCTGGAAGGAGATACAAGGAAGCAGTCCGAGAGTCCCACACAAGACCCAGCCAGGTCCGAATCAGGGAGGAAACCAGATGGGACTTTCGCCAGTTCACCAGGAACCCAAACTCAGCTAGCTGGGAAAGCACCAAACCCCTGGTGAACAGACATGCGGACTGACTGGGAGCCCAGACCAGCCAGTCATCGATGTAGACCAGCACCCAAACACCTAAAAAGATGCACACTGGCCACCACGACCCGGGTAAGGTGCGTGAACACGCGAGGTGCCAGATTCAACCCAAAAGGGAGACAACAAAAGCGGTAGCACTGACGCCCCACAAAAAAACCAAGCCAGTCCCGGAACCCCAGATGAATAGGGACGAGGATATCACCTCTTTTTCTTCTGTCTTCTAGTTTTGGCATATTTAATGCCTCTAACCTCTCCTCGTAGCTCTTGCCCTTCAGTTCTGGGAGCTACTTAGTAGCATGTCTGCACCTTTTCCAGTTTGTTGATGTGCTTCTTAAGATATGAGCACCACATAACTGCTGCATATTCTAGCTTTGGCCTAACAAAAGTCATGAACAATTTCTTTTGTATTTTGCCATCCATGTATTTAAAAGCAATTCTGAAGTTAGAAAGCGTGGCATAGGCTCCTTGCACAATGTTCTTTATGTGGTCCTCAAGTGATAGTTTTCTATGTAGAACCACCCCTAGATCTCTTTCTTTATAAGAATTCTTTAAAGATTTCTCATATAATTTAAATATGTGTGGGGTCTATGTTCTCCTATTCCACATTCCTTAACATGGCATTTATTCACATTAAATTCCATTTGCCAAGTGGTGCTCCATATACTTATTTTGTCCAGGTCAAGAACTACAAGAATCATACAAAACCCAGGAGCGGCAAAGAGAGCAAAAGTCCATCATCAGTGAAATAGAGAGAAATCCGAAATATTTCTTCTCCTATGCAAAATCAAGATCAAAATCCACATTTAGTATCAGGCCCCTGCAAAAGGGAGATGGAACTTTCACTGATGACAACAAAGAAATAAGCGAAATACTGAGGAATCAGTACGACTCTGTTTTCAGCGAGCCACTGAACACACTGAAGATTGATAACCCAAATGAATTTTTCATGGATATGACACCAACATCAAATCATATATCAGATGTCACCCTATTCCCACTGGATTTTGAAGAAGCCATAGACTGTATGCCTATGCACTCTGCACCAGGTCCTGACTCTTGGAACTCTATATTCATCAAGAACTGTAAAAATCCGCTATCGCAGGCCCTTCACATTCTTTGGAGACAAAGCCTAGATACTGTACTGGCATTATCCCTGACATATTAAAAACAGCAGAGATAGTACCGCTCCATAAAGGAGGAAATAAGGCAGAGGCAAAAAATTACAGACTGATAGCACTAACATCGCAGATCATAAAAATCTTTGAGAGTGCTAAGTAAGATCACAAAATACATGGAATCACAGCATCTCCATAACCTCGGACAACATGGTTTCAGAACAGGGCGCTCTTGCCTATCACAGTTGCTAGACAACTATGACATGGCACTAGATGCCATGGAAGACAAACAAAACGCTGATGAAATTTACACAGACTTCGCAAAAGCCTTTGACAAATGTGACCATGGTGTTATTGCACATAAAATGCGTTCAAAAGGAATTACCGGAAAAATAGGCAGATGGATCTACAATTTCCTGACTAACAGAACCCAATGTGTAATAGTCAACAAAATAAAATCCGGACCATCAACCGTAAAGAGCTCAGTCTCCCCAGGGTACTGTGCTTGCTCCAGTACTTTTTCTCATCCTCATATCAGACATAGACAAGGACACAACCTATAGTACTGTATCATCCTTTGCAGATGACACTAGGATTTTTATGAAAGTAAACAACATAGAGGACACGGCAAACCTTCAATCAGATGTAAATCAGGTCTTTCTATGGGCTACAGAAAATAACATAGTGTTTAACGAAGATAAGTTTCAGCTCATGCGCTATGGAAAACATGAAAATATAAAAACGGAAACCACATACAAAACTCAGTCAAATTATAACATAGAACGGAAAGGCAATGTAAAGGATTTGGGTGTACTGATGTCGGAAGACCTTACATTTAAAGAACACAATAAAGTAGCCATCACAACTGCAAGAAAAATGACAGGTTGGATAACAAGAACATTTCACACTAGAGATGCTATACCGATGATGATACTTTTCAAGACCCTAGTGCTCTCTAGAGTAGAATACTGCTGCAATCACAGCCCCTTTCAAAGCTGGAGAAATTGCTGACCTGGAGAGCATGCAGAGATCCTTTACTGCTAGAATTCACTCAGTAAAACATATAACTATTGGGACCGACTAAAGAGCCTAAACCTGTATTCTCTTGAGCGCAGGCGGGAGAGATACATAATAATTTACACATGGAAAATAGTAGAGGGGCTGGTCCCAAACCTGCACACAGAAATATCAACACATGAGACCCAAAGCATGGCAGGATGTGCAGAATACCCCTGTTGAAGAGCAGAGGTGCAGCAGGTACTCTGAGGGAGAACTCTATCAACATCAGAGGCCTGAGACCGTTCAACGCGCTTCCACTACACATAAGGGGCATAACTGGACGACCCTTCACAGTGTTCAAGAGAGAACTTGACAAACATCTCCAAAAGATACCTGATCAACCAGGCTGTGACTCATACGTCAGGCTGCGAGCAGCCACGTCCAACAGCCTGGTTGACCAGTCCAGCAACGAGGAGGCCTGGTCAATGACTGGGCTGCGGGGTCGCTGAGCCCCGGAATCACCTCAAGGTAAGGTAAGGTAAGGTAACCAAGGTAGGTCTTCTTGAAGGGCATGACAATCATCTAAGTTCCTTATCCTTTCTATTATCTTAGCATCATCAGCAAACAATGAACATCACCAGTACAAGAACTGAGCCCTGTGGTACACCACTTGTGACATTTCTCCAGTCCAATACATTGCCTCTGATTACTGCCCTCATTTTTCTATCAGTCAGAAAATTTTTCATCCATGTTAGAAGCTTACCTGTAACCCCTCCAATATTTTCCAGTTTCCAGAACAACCTTTTATGTGGAACTCTGTCGAGCATCTTTTTTAGGTCCAGATAGATGCAGTCAACCCAACCATCTCTTTCCTGTAAAATCTCTGTGGCTCGATCATAGAAACTGAGTAAATTCGATACACAGGATATTCCAGATCGAAAACCATACTGTCTGTTTGATATTATATAATTTCTCTCCAGGTGTTCTACCCATTTAGTTTTTATTATTTTTCCAATATTTTGACTATTACACTTGTCAATGATACAGGTCTATAATTGAGGGGGTCTTCCTTGCTTGTATCAACACATTGCTTGATGTGTTGATGCAAGAATGTCTCCAGAATGAGATTCACAAATCTGCATGTCCAAAAGTCCTCCATTCTTGCTTCACAGGCCTCCCAGTCTATTGCTTTAAATTTGAAGTCCCCCAGTATCAACAGTCGTGATTTATGTTCATCTGCTTGTACAGTAATCTCTCATGACCATTATGAGGCCTTCTCATTTGTCATCCAGTTTTTCCTTTGTCCATGTGTTGCTTCCTAGTGAGCTGTAGGCATTTAAAATTATCAGCTTATCTTCCTGATTCCAGACCTGCAATGTCATTATGTCAATATCTCGAAGGTTTTCAAATATTAACTCTCTTACCTTCAGGTGTTCTTTCACCAGCACAGCCACTCCTCCTCCCTTCCTAGTTTTTCTGTCACGTCTCCAGACTGAATAGCCCTGTGGGAATACAACTTCATTTAATATATTTCCTTCAAGTTTCGTCTCTGATAATGCGACAATATCTGGGACCTTAGGCTGAATTATATCTTGCAGCTCCAGAGTTTTTGACCTCACTCCATCTATGTTGGTATATAGAAC